TTGCAGGTATATTTTAAAGATTGTTAATTTTTATTTTTCGATAAAAATATTTATATATATATACTTCACAAACATTTATTTAGTTAAATTGTAATTTCTTATATTTTATTCATATTTTTTCATTTTGGTGTATAAGAATGTAGAAGCTATTACAAATTGTCAAGTAATTAACAATTTGTATTGTGTATCTTATAGGTATACCACTATAAATAATAATAATAAAAAATAAAAATAACTATGAATTGAATTTGTATTATAATCACAACCAAAAAATATAATAAAATTACATTTACAGAATCATAATCCTATATTTTATAATTAGTTATTATTTAAGTTCAATGCGCATAACCATCAATTTAATATTAACTGCTAACAATAAAACTATACTGATATTTAGTACTTTACACCATAGGATATCACAAAAAGTATCGACTGATAATAATACTCAGTAACCGAGCGTTGAAGAGCAGTATATCACTTGCTTCTATGACTTTTTTTGATTGCATTTGTTTTTATAAATTCTTTAAAAACTTTTACGGTTTAATTCCACTAAATTTTTTGTAAAATATGTTTTTTGAGTTTGGCGATTTTGTAATGAATTTAAAAGAAGAGCAAATTGACAGTTTTGGAGATTTTATAGAATTTGGCTGCATTTTTTTTTAGTTTCAGAGCAGTTTATCAACATTTCAACATTTCACGGTTTATCCCAAAAGTTTAATTGAAAAACTGCAAATACACTGCTGAGTGGCAGCAAGAGTATATTCTTTTAGAATCATTACAAAATCGTCAAACATGAAAAACAAATTTTAGAAAAATATTGTAGAATCAAAACAGAGAAGTTTCTAGAGATTCTACAAAAATACATGTGCTCAGAAAAAGTTTTAGAAGCCAGGAAAACCAATCATTTTGCTCTTCAATGCTCAGTTTCTGAGTAATATTATCAGTCTCTATACTTTTTGATTAGCCCTGGTATGTATATTATATACATACATGATATATATATATTATATATAAACATACATGATAAATATACATGATTTAAGACAAAAAGAATAATTCAACAATATTATTGTAATTTGGGATAATATTAAAAATTATATTTTTATACACCTACAGTATAAAATTTTTGTAATATTTTTTTATAATTATTATATCCAGTTTTTAAATAATAATTCATAAAATGTAATTAATATTTTAAGTAAAATTTCAAAATTATACATGGAAATTGTAATGGAAAAAGCTTTAATAGATTAATAGTACATTTGACACTATGATTCTTAATTAAAAATTCAATTTAAATTAGGTTTAGGTAGTATATTAACAATTAAAAGTAATAATAATAAAGACAAAATTATCTACACATAAATTAAGATAAAATTAAAAACTTACTATCATTGTCTCGGTATTCAATCACCATTTCAATAACGCTTTGATCAATACTATTATTAAATATTTTGAATAAATCCTTTGTGGTATCTGAACAACTAAAGTTAGCTTTTGATGCAGACAAATTTGCCATCTAAAATCATGTATGACAATAAAAATGTATAATACCTACTATAATTTAAATAATATAGCATACCTTTGTAAATAAAATTCAGCGTCTTAATTTGTAAAAATTAACTTTGATTTCTTTGAAATTTTTGGGAATTTACACAGAATAAAATTACAAACAATAGCACAATATTATAGATCAAAAATCGTAGACAACCGGTACCTATATACAAAATTATTATCCATTAATTAAAGTACCTACCTAGTTAGTTTAAAAATTACTATCTGTAGTATATCTATAATTGTAGATTAGGTACTTCTTGGCAATTTTTAATATTAAACATTTGTATTTTGAATTTTATTATCAAAAAAAATGTATATATAGATAAAACTATCTATAATTATAGTGGTAAAAAGAAAAAAAATTAATTTTCAATTGGATTTTAAATTGTTTGTTGTTATTTGTTAATTTATTTTTGTTTTGAATTTTACAGTTTAGATGTCTTGATAGAGTTCAAAAGTAATTAAATCTATGCACAGACCACTATACACAGCCATGGTATAAACCAGACATATAATTTGTCTATGGTATAAACAATATAGTAAATATGAACTAGTAGATAGTATGGTTAAAGATAGAACCGTAGTAGAAAGCCTACATAGTTGAAGTAGTTTAGTAACTACGTTTACTAACTACCATGAAGATATCTTAATCCGTGCTAACTGCTAACTACTAAGCTAAAATAATCATATATAATATGAGAATAGATAAGCTGAGAGTTTATCACAGGAAAACGAACGTTTTTATAATTTAAGGTTACAAAAGGTTTATTCAATAATTATAAATACAATTAAAATTTAAAGATATCTTTAAAGGAGCGTTAAAATTAATACAGTATTTTTTATTACTTTATAGTTCAAATCTTAAATCATATACGAATATCATTGATTATTTATATATTTAATCGATGCTAACATATGATCTAAAGTTTAAATACAGGAATACACCACTCTTAGTGCGCATGCACATTGTGCAGTCGTGCGCGTATAGCTTGGATTTCCTATGGGAGCAGTGCTGTTATCTAGCGGCCGTAATTTATTGATGGATGTCGTACCTAAAACGTCTCTACAAATCAGACAACGTTGGTTTCCTAAAAAGTGTTGATGTCAACGTAACGTCATATTACGATACCACTATTTGTATGACACCCGTCATTACGTTAACAAACAGTTTCCGAACGTTTTTTCACGTGTAGTTAAGTAGTTAAGTTTTACGTAAATATTAATGAGTGTCTTCTGGACCTATGGGTATTTTGTGCCTGATATATGGTTTAGAAGTTTTGTTTAATTTCAAGTAGTCTATATTATATACTCTATATATGGCTAGATTTACATTATAATATTCATATATGTACATTGTTTATTCGGATAAAGTAGGAATCACGGATTGTACTATTGGTTTTGTATGAAAATATTATCGGAAATTATTTTCCACTAATCAATAATGTCTATAAATGAGCTTAATTATAGTGAAATTATTAACTTAAAATATTACATTTTCATTTTTGCGCCCGGGGCGTAGGCACCGCTCGCCCTCCCCCCCCTTGCTACGACCCTGTGGAGACTCACTAAAATTTGAAACACACCTTCTGAAGCACGATTTTTAAACATTTAATTTTCCTCTGACTAACGGTTTTCTTCTTCCGATGACTCTTCATCTTTTAAAAATACTAATAATGCGATGTCTAAATTGTCCATTTTCCACTGTTGAACGTCACACTACTACTACATTCCTTTTTTCTGTGGATAACTTTTCTACCAGCAATTTTACTCCGATTTATAATGATAGCACATTTTCTAAAAAGGAAATCTGACTTGGGTTACAATATTAATCACATATGATTAAAGAAAATTGATAAAAAAACTACTATTTTATAATATCTACAGACATGTCTCAAAAGTCGAGAATATGACGGTCCCTTGAAATGTGGAGCCCGGGGTCGCTGGACCTACTTTAAATACGTCCCTAATCTCTAGCAGTTATTTACCCGATGAGTTATAACTTTTTAACTGATATCTATATACCTAGTATGCAGTTGTAGTATGTACACATACCATAGACCTGATAATAAGTTTTTAGGTCTATGACATATACCCATGGTTGGGGTCAAATGTTAAATAAACACATTATTGTAACCTATTACATAGATACCTATACCCTATAACTATACCTATACCTTATGATAGTAAAATTAATGGTTTTATTGGTATTTTGGATTAGAATGATGATTAATAACATTTTATATTGATAAAAAAAGCTAAAGGAGAAAAAGAGAAAACTGTCAAGTTAATAAGGGTGGACCGGTCCATAAATCCAAGGCCGGAACTAATGGGGAGAATCGGAGATTTAACAGTATACTGATAAATATTATACATCTTTAATTATGTTTTTCAGTATCTTGGGGGACTTCAATATCAACTTATTGTTTTCATTTTAAACTATTAGGTCCATAATATAATATGGCCATCAGGTACATTATAATAAAATAAATAGGTACCTATATAAAATTGTTAAATAACATATTTAAATTTTTATCTGAAAACGATAGTGAAAATATATACATAATAGGTAGTAATTTTAGTTGAATCCTGAAATTATAATTTCACATAGGATTCAAAAATTATTTAATTATATTATCGCGCTTGATTACTATATAATAGCTTTAACTTATGATAAAACAGAGATTCCATTTATTTTTAAAATATAACAAGTTTGAAATGTATTGATAATTAATTAATATTATATCGTAATGGTTACCTATTTCTCGTACAGCCGTACTCGTATTATTCTAGTGATGTGTGTAATTGTTTATCAGCTTGTTTTTATTTGCTTTTAAAAAATCAAAACGTCATTAAAGAAAAAATGTTTAATGAGATTAAAACAAACAATTATAGATTTTATGAAGTCGTATCCTCATCTCATCAAAGGTAAATGTGTGCCTCATTTACGAATGATTAAGATAATATTTATTTTGCTGTGGTATACAAAAACTAGCTTTCACATCATATCCTACACCATATGTTGCAATTATACTAAAACCAGTCGTATATACGAGACTTCGTCGCACGAATATAGTTATAAAATACCGCTAAACGAATTTTTATTTCGTACGTACAATGTACAAAATACCATTTTCGTAAACCATACGTAAAATTTACGTATGAACGGAAATCAATCATACGATAAGTTTTCGTATGCGAAATAGTTACAAAATACTGAATTGGAATTTCATACGAAAAATATCCAATTTTTGTATACGAATTACATTCGTATGGTGTACAAAATAGACCTCCAAGCCAGTGGACCTTAAGTGTTTCACTGGGCACTGACTACCAATTGAGAGTCACTACCCACTGGACTACTAATTAAATTAATGTTAATGAACTTAGATCATTGTATCATGATTTGACTTTATCTCAGGTGTCACAGTGACAGTGGCGCCTCTTATTAGTATTTCATTTATGATGGTTCTATCTTTAGACCATATACTATGGATAGAGTTATTGACTAAATATTTGAAGCAAATACAACTAAGAGAAGTTGGGACAAATGCACATGCGCAAAATTGATATCACACGCAATTGGTCGAATTTATGTAATTACGTGTGACTCATCATCACTGCCTAGTGGTATTGTATTGATTATACGATAATTAATATGCGACGAGTACTGATACGCATGCGCAATAGACATCAGTCTTCTTAGCACTCGTTAATAATGGTGTCTTCAACTGTATGCGGTTATCATGCAGTAGCTCCATAGTATATGATCTAAGGTTCTATCTTAGTGGCTATGACTATCATGATTTTTATCACGGATTTTAGTTAGATTTATACACAGAGTATATATTTAAATTGTTTATGATTCATGATTATATTTATATTTACTTTTTGTTATCAATAAGTGAACAAGCCGATAGTTTGGTTAAGTTTTGATAGTAATTTTTCTAGTTTTCAATGGTTTGACTTTTAGTATTTTAATTTTATGTAAATTGTAAATAGAAGATTGTTTTAATTTTCCAATTTCCTATTCAACATACAATATAACAGTAAATACTTTAATTATACTTTAATTAAATTATTATACTTAGTTATTTTAAATAATTTTTTATAACAATTTTTTCTTTGTTTTAAATGACTGCTTATAACCTTTTTGTAAAATTGGCTTTATTTATATGTTAAAGATGTATGGAGAAATGAATAACAACAAATTGGCTTTGCCATTACATTACCAGCAGATTATTCAAGCTATTAATATTGAACCGTATTTGAATTATGTAGAAAACATTTTCAAAACTCCCCTTGGGTATGCAATCATTTTATTATAAATTTAATTTTTTTCTTATTAAAAAAAAAATTAAGTAAACAGTTGTACACAGAAATACTAATAAAACTCTAGAATAGTAAACTAATATTTACTTATACGTAGCTTTTTAAATGATAATAATTAACATTTATTTTTAGGGAAGATTCAAGTGATACAGATTTAGATGGTGATTTTAGTGATCTTGAAACTCCAGAAGGTTTGACTTTATATTTTTAACTTTTTTTACTAATTTAATCGAAAAAATAATATAACCTAATAGTTAATTAATTAAATAATGTGAACAATATTATATAGTTTTTGTGAATATTGTTATCTAATTTAGAACGAATTGCTGACCGTTCTCGATTTTATAATTTATCAAATGTTGGTGATGATCGTTTATGGCTACAAAGTCTTCTCTTGGAAAACAACGATTCAGATGATCCTGAAGACGTAGTGACGGAAGAAGATTTACAAGAGATGTTAAAACTACATTTATTCAAAAAGAAGTGTCAACAACAATTCCTTACTGCTAAAAATGTAAATTGGTTTATTTTTAATTACAAATTAGTAAATAAATTGTTATTAGGTATTTGTTTAGGTAATAATAATTATAATATTATAAGTTGTTTAGTGTATATATATACACTTATTGAAAAATCGTGGTTTACTTTACAGAAAAATCGATGTCGGTATTATAGTTCTGGCTTATTATCTAATTTTGATAAATATCAAACGAGAACTGAAAAAAAAAATACTCAAAAGTCAAAAGCTACCACAGTCAAACATAAACATAAAGTATTTAAAGAGTATTAATTAATGCCTTATTTATAAATATATTTATGTCAATAATTGATAAATTTATATTTATAGAATTCTGACGGAGATAAAAAACTCACTAAAAGGAAAACACGATCTTTAAGTCCTACAGCTAAAACATTAAAACTTGAAAAGAAAAAAGCCCTTTTGGAAGCAAAAACTGCTCAAGTCGTATTTATGAAAAGAAAAAAGCTATGGTTACATATGTCCAAAAAGGAAATGGGAAAAGTAATGGCGTTAAAAAATTAATAAATCATATTTTATTTATAATAAGTATTATTATATCATATTCAGTATACCTATGACTATCAGTGTGGTTTTATGTCAGGTAAAGTGAACAATGGAACTAATCTTTTATGTAGGGCATATAGATTATGTCTAAGAAAATCTAAGGAAAAAGTTGTGAATGTTGTTCATAGATTCAGAGAAAACATATAGTATGAAGAGTATCGAAAAAAGTAAAAAAAAATTCAAGAGGAAATGGGTACTGTATAAATATGTTAATGAACTTGTAATCAAAGGATAAGTAAAGGAAATACAAACCAAGTGTTTTTGAGCTGTATTATAATTAGAACATGATAGAGATTAATAGACAAAACCAAGAACATATAAAACAAACAGTTAACTTATTATTTAGGATTGATTGCTTAACAAAATGTATGTTTCTGATCAAGGATATGAATGAGGGAGCAAGTACACAGGTATAAAGTTGTGGTTGAAGACTATAATGACCAACTCTAAATAACTAACAGGAAAGGTATAGGGAAAAAATGTATAAGATAATAATATAAAAGATATAAAAAAATATCCTTCTGTGTATATAATATATATACAATTTTAAATATCTGATTAAAAAATGTTTGTACCAATAGATTCACAGAATGAAAAATAATAATCATAAAGAAATATTAATAACGTGTCGACGAACTGCACAGTCTTGTATGAAACATTTACGTCAAAAAGCTATTCAAGTAATTTTAAATGTAATATTTAATTGTTCATTTTTAATATTATGGTATACATTTTAGAGTCAAAAAAATATGAAAGAAAATATATGGCGTGCAAAACGTTTAACACGAGAAATGTTGACATATTGGAAGCGATATGATCGTAATGAACGTGAAACACGTAAGAAACAGGAAAAAGAAGCTGAAGAACAAAGAAAAATGGATGTAGAGTTGATGGAAGTAAGTTAGCTCTATTTATTTGTATTTGTATATTTTTTTTTTTTTTTTTTTTTTTTTTTTTTTTTTTTTTTTTTTTTATTTTTTTTTTTTGTGCTATTTAATATTTTGTGTCATATTTATTTTTTTTTACATATTTTAACTTAAGGTTAAACGTCAACAAAGAAAATTGAATTTCTTAATCACTCAAACAGAGTTATATGCACATTTTATGTCAAAAAAACTTGGACAAAGTTCTGCTGAAGAACAACTAAGAATTTTAAATCAATTAGATGAAGAAAAAATACCAAGATTAATGCATATTGAAAATTATAACAGGTATAAAATTAAAACTTTATTAATAATTTAGTTTTTAATATATATTAAACATTTAAAAATTAATTACACATTTTAAATTTTGTCTACACCAGTATTATTATTTTAAAATATTAGAAATTTAATAATAAATTTATTTTCATTATTTTCTATTCATACTTTAAGATTATTTTATACAAGTTCTACACTTGTTTGTTTTTATAAATAATGTTCACCATTATATTTGTGTTTTTAATTAGTGAAGTATATAAGAACAAAGCATTACAAAATACTCAAAAAGCATTAGATGCTCAAGCAAAGCAGTCTATTGAATTTAATGATCCAGATTTAAAAATCAATACTCCTCCACCTAATGAGGAAAGACCACAACCAACAATATTTCAAGGCAGTTTGAAACACTATCAATTAAAAGGAATGAATTGGCTTGCAAATCTTTATGATCAGGTATAATTATTATTTTTTAAAATTCTACAATGTTTTCAAAATATATAATAATATTTTTTTTTTATAAATTCAGGGAATAAATGGCATATTAGCGGATGAAATGGGATTGGGAAAAACTGTACAATCTATTGCTTTTTTATGCCATATTGCAGAAACATATCGTGAGTATTATATTATTAATTATTTTAAATAATGAAAATATAAACCAAACATCATACATCATTAATGTATAGTCTATTCAAATTATATTATCTTGATATTATAGGTGTATGGGGTCCGTTTTTAATTGTATCCCCATCATCTACACTTCACAATTGGCAGCAAGAAATAGCTAGATTTGTTCCTGATTTTAAAGTTGTACCATATTGGGGAAATCCACAAGTAAACACTAATTAAAAAATAAATATTAAATTAATGCATTTCTTTAAATGAGTATAATTTTGCAGGAAAGAAAAATTTTGAGACAATTCTGGGATCAAAAAGGCTTACACACACAAGAAGCTAGTTTTCACGTGGTTATAACAAGTTATCAATTGATAGTGAGCGATTTTAAATATTTTAATCGTATTAAATGGCAATATTTAGTTCTTGATGAAGCTCAAGCTATCAAAAGTGCTAATAGGTATTGTATAATTTTTCATTATCATTTAAGATTACTTATTAAAATTATTATTATTATTGTAGTGTACGTTGGAAACTATTACTGACATTTAGATGTCGTAACCGTTTGTTATTAACTGGTACTCCTGTGCAAAATAGTATGGCAGAACTTTGGGCTTTGTTGCATTTTATTATGCCAACAATGTTTGATTCCCATGATGAATTTACAGAATGGTTCTCAAAAGATATTGAAAGTCATGCAGAAAACAAAACGGGCATTGATGAAAGTAAGGCAAAAATTGTATTGTATAATTGTTTTCCTTATTATTATTTTATTACTGCAACTTGTGACTTATAAATAAATAAGTTTTTAAAAATATTACAAAGAACAAAGCTATAAAATTTTAATATAGCAGGTTATATTTATTATAAATTATAATAATATAAAAGTATAATATACCCATTGATTATAAATAATAAAATTTATAATCAATAATATAAAACATTTTAGTAGTGTTTATTATAATTTATTATAGGTTAATATTTTATGGATTTTGGGTTTTGAATATTATAATACTATTTGTAAGTGCTTTAGGTATAATTTATATTTAATGTAATTTTTTCTTACATATTTCCATAAATTAAAATATTAAAATTCTAGAACACCTATCCAGATTACATTTGATTTTAAAACCGTTCATGTTACGAAGAATAAAAAAAGATGTTGAAAATGAATTATCAGACAAAATTGAAATATTGATGTACTGTCCTCTTACTTCACGTCAAAAAATGTTATACTCTGGTAAAACAAACATACTGAATATTAAGAAAATTAGAAATGCTGTTGAATCATTTTTATTTTTTTTAAATAGCTTTAAGAAAAAAGATTCGTATTGAAGATTTATTGCATTCAGCTGGCTCTTACCATTCCTCACCCAATGTCACATCAAATCTGATGAACTTAGTTATGCAATTTCGAAAAGTTTGTATTAATTTAATTTGATATTCAATAAACTAGTTGTTATAGATTTTTTTTTTTTTTAAGGTTTGTAATCATCCAGAATTATTTGAAAGAAGAGAGGCTAGATCGCCTTTTTTTTCTCGCCCAATAGATTATATTGTTCCAAAACTAATTTATTTTGATAATTCAAGTAAATACAATTTTTTAAGCAAACAGCATTTATTTGCTAACAAATTTTGTATATATAATGTAGAACAAGTACATCATAGCTGTTACCCTGTAGATAATGGTAAAAATTATAATATAATCAATATACAAATTTTGATTCCTAAATTTTAATATTTTATATTACTAGGTAAATCAACCAATTGTAGCATGTTTTGCTTTATTCGATTTTTAAAAATGTCACCTACTGAACTATTTGAAATAACAAATGGTGGATTATATAATAGGTATTATTTTTATACTTTTAATTATGATTAATAAAATTAATTATGATTAATAAAATCTTCAATTAATATTTATTTTCAGAATTATTTATGTTTTAATTCAACAAAAAATGAATAGTTTGATTAAAGAAAAAAATATTTGGAACAAAAATAGTATATTGTGGCCATTTGTAGAAAATCATATACCAGAATTATTCAAATTTATAACTCCAATTTTAAACACGTGCACTATTACTCATATGACTCATACTCATCACTGTATGAATGAAACCATGGAACACAAATTACGTCGAATTAAACAAGTAAAAATCAATAAATTATCCTAAACATACCAAAATATATAATTTGAAAAATTATTGTTTTAATATAATCATAGGTTAATTCTGACATGAATATAACAATGGAGAACATTTTTGTTGAAAATTCATCATTAGATCACTACAAACATAGACCACCACAAATATATAAATGTCATCCAACACAATTGCCATCATTTTTGTATTTTTATTCTCCAAAAGTAACAACAAAAGGTCGCCAATTATGGGTTCCTGGTAGTAGATCTGCTGCATATGTTTGGCAGCGACATGAATCATGTGATTCTGCTGAAGGTCATAATTTAATATATAATGGTCATTCAAGTTTCAATCATAATCAATGGTCATGTGAAAACATAGGAGGTTTAAATTCTTTAAAACCGAAGAATGGATGGTTTCACATCAGCATACCTGGTAATGTGAAAGTGTGTCATTTCTAAATTAAATAGTTAATTTTATACTTTTTTCCTAGACAAGCAAAGTTTGGTTACTGATTGTGGAAAATTGAAAATTTTAGACAATTTATTAACACAATTAAAACGAGAAAATCACAGAGTTCTAATTTATTCACAAATGACAAGGATGATTGATATTTTAGAGGCAATTGAAAAACAAATTACATAATATTAACTAATTTATTCACCTATGCAATATATTTTACAGGAATATATGTGGTATAAAAAACTAAGATATATGAGACTTGATGGTTCATCAAAAATATCTGATAGAAGAGATATGGTTGCTGATTTTCAAAATCGGTACACATTATTTATTCATATTTAGTACTGATAAAATATATATTAAATTAAAAAATATAAATAATTATGTTATTTTGAATGGCCAAGACAATGTTTACATTAATTCTGTATTGAAAGAGTTGCATATTTATAATGAGGTTAAGCAAAATTTTAAAAATATTAAAGGAAAAATTTAAATTTATCTTGAATATACAGATAGATTTAAAAAATAATCTTATATACTAATATTATATAGATAGTACGAGATATGTCCAAAAAGTAAGTTCCGTTTTCTATTTTTATCTCGTTTGCGATGTTATCTTAATTACGATCATATCCGATTATTTCATTTACTTATTTGGAACATTTTAAAACCATTCCGTGACTAATTAGTGTACGTACATCACGTGACNGTTAGGAGATGGGTGCGTCTTTTCAATGAAGGCCGTACAAATGTTCACGATGAAGAACGAATTGGGCGACCATCTTTGGTTAATGATGTTTTGGTGCAAGAAGTCGAAAAAAAAATTCATGAAAACAGAAGGTTCACCATGACGTCATTATCAATACATTTCCCTCAAATTTCCTGTTCTCTTCTTCATGAAATTGTGTCAATAAAATTGAATTTTCGAAAATTGTGCGCACGTTGGGTGCCGAAAATTCTTACTGATGAACACAGAGTGCAACATCAGGGTAGTGCACTTCATTTTTTGTCACGATACGAAGAAGACGGTGATAACTTTTTAAGCCGTATTGTCACAGGGGACGAGACTTGGGTTTCGCATGTCACCCCTGAATCAAAACAACAAAGTATGGAGTGGAGACATACCATATTGCCATCAACGAAAAAAATCAAACAGACACTGACTACTCGAAAAATCATGTGCACGGTGTTTTGGGACAGACAATGAGTTTTGTTAATGTACTTTTTACCGCGTGTATAAACAATCAACTCAAATTCTTATTGCAAGACGCTTAAAAAACTACGTAGTGCAATAAAAAATAAACGACGAGGCATGCTTAGCCGTGGCATTGTTTTCATCCACGACAATGCCCGCCCGCACACAGCAAATGTGACGAAACAACTTGCAGATTTTGCATGGGAACAATTTAATCATCTGCCCTACAGTCCAGATTTGGCACCCAGTGTTTTTCATCATTTTTTACACATAAAATCATTTATGGGTGGCCAGAACTTCAACGAAGATGATGAGGTGAAAAAGGCTGTTAGCGCATGGTTACAATCACAGGCGTCNTTCACGATAAAGAACGAACTAGGCGACCATCTTTGGCCTGCACACAGCAAATGTGACGAAACAACTTCTTGCAGATTTTGCATGGGAACAATTTAATCATCCGCCCTACAGTCCAGATTTGGCACCCAGTGATTTTCATCTTTTTTTACACATAAAATCATTTATGGGTGGCTAGAACTTCAACGAAGATGATGAGGTGAAAAAGGCTGTTAGCGCATGGTTACAATCACAGGCGTCATATTTCTATGATGAAGAGATACAAAAACTAGTACCTCAATATGATAAATGCTTAAACAATGGTGGTAACTATGTTGAAAAATAAAGTAATACATGTATTTTATATTCTAATAAAATTTATATTAAAATTTACACATTTACATGTTTTTATTGCCCAACGGAACTTACTTTGTGGACGTACCTCGTAATACAACTTCTTAAATCTATATCATCTCAGTGTTTTAAAAAAAAAATCTTCTAATATACACACAACTTTTATAATACTCCAGGCATTATTTTGTACTTTGTCTATTTATTTATCTGTTTTGCATATATACATGCACACATATATTGTTATTTTTTTAATTTAATTTTTTGCTTTAGTTCAGACATATTTGTATTTTTATTGAGTACAAGAGCTGGAGGTCTTGGAATAAATTTGACTGCTGCAGATACTGTTATATTTTATGACAGCGATTGGAATCCTACTGTTGATCAACAAGCAATGGATCGAGCTCATAGACTTGGTCAAACTAAACAAGTTAGCCTTATATTAGTTAAAATAATAATTCAAGTACTCGATTTGTATTTCTAAGCATAATAATATTTAATCAAATAATTCACATATTTGCTTTCCCTAATAAAATCCCATTTTCTTTAAAGTTTGTTAACTCTTCTTTGTTAACTAGTCCAAAAGGAATGAAAAAGGAAAGAATGTTGTTTTGTTTATTAATAAACACTGATTTTCTAGGTTACTGTTTATAGACTCATAACTCAGCACTCGATTGAAGAACGGATATTACAGAGAGCAAAAGAAAAAAGTGAAGTATGATGAACTAAGTTCTAAGTATCCTACAGTGTTATCCATATGCTAATAACTGTCAATATTCATTTTTTTTTTAAATTGGGTTTTGTGTCAAAGGGACACAGATGTAAATTTTTAAAATTTTCAACATAGCCAATTTGTAAAATATATTCTATTAATGTTAATGTATCATACATTCATATCCGATTAATAGTTTCTTAGTAATCTTAGTAATAGCCATTTTAATTTCAACATTCAACATTTCTAACCTGTATTATGGTTATGATTTGCTATTGTGTACCGTGTTAATTTTGTTTTTCACACCTTCTAGATATAAAACGACTAATTCTAAGAAATTATTGATCAGATATATGATACATTTAAAATTTTTAGAATAATATATTTAATATGGATAACACTATAGGACAATCTATATTATCAAATAATCTACAAAATTATACATCAAATTATCCATGGATATTTTATCTTTAGATACAAAGAATGGTAATAAGTGGTGGAAATCTTAAACCTGATACTTTAAAACCAAAAGAAGTGGTATCATTGCTTTTGGATGATGACGAAATTGAAAGCAAATGTATGTGTAAGAAAATGTTTGTATAAAAGAATTTAAAATATATATATTTAAAACCCTTATTTAGATCGTCAAAAACAAGAAGAGAGGAGACTATTGGAAGAAACAAGAGCTGAGGGGTTTAAAGAAAAAGATCGGAAACGAAAAATAGATGTTAAAACTGATAGTTCTTCTAAAATAAAAAAGACTGAAGAAGTATCAACTATTGATGAATTAGTATTAAGTCCTCGAAGTGAGGTAAATTTAACATTAAATATTTAAATATAAATTATAAAAATTTTGTTTACTTGTTTTCTATTCAAACTTAAAAATACTAGTATAATAAATTAATAGAAAACAAATAAAAATTTAAAAAAGAAAATCTACAATATAAGGTTAAATTAAAATCTTCCAGTAGGAGGGAATCAGAATACTCTCATGGTACCTATACCTGTTGTGAGGAGCGATAAATGGGGTTTCGATCAGATTGACAGTCTGTGTAAAATTCTATTAAACAGTATGAAAAGTTCTAAATAAAACTTTGGCGGATTGTCCTTTATCGGATGTGCATGGGGAAAAAATGTAAGAGAAAGTACAATGGTGTATAATGTTTATGAATAATATAGTTTTAATAGGAGAAAATCTGGAAGAAATTAACAATAGGTTTGAAGAATGAAGAGTGATACTTGAATAAAAGGGACTAAGGATCAATAGAAATAATACAGAATGTATAGAGTATGATTTTATATAATCTCTAAAATCATACTCTATAGATTGTCTCCCCTGCTAAAAAGACCTGCACACGCTTATGGGGATAAGTACCGGAAATCAGAAATAATTCTTCATTAATGCATTTATTTTATGAAATACCTAACTAAAAATTATGAAAATTTGTTTATCATTTAAACTCCTTCCTTATTATACCAAGTTCAAATTCTGGAACTTCATTTAGGTAATGCCATAATGTTTAATATTAAATTTATATTTTTTTCTTAACAAAAAAAAACAGGTGGGTGTTGGTGCACTCAAGGTTGAGGTAATTTTTTTTTGTTGAATCTTGTATATGATCATGTGGGCCACTAGATTCTATTATTCCCGGGCTGTTCAGATTATGCTTATCTGCCCCTAGTGACAAGAGAATTCCAATGAGACTTAAAAGTAAGTTCTACAAAAGTGTGGTGAGGCTGACTGTTGTATGATTTGGAGTGTTGGGAAGTAGACAGAAAATAGAACAAAGATTGAGTGCATCAGAGATGAAAATTTTTAGGTAGATGAGTGGAGTGATCAAAGAAGATAGAAGAAGAAATGAGTAAATAAGAGGTTACCTATGCATGGCTTCGATAGCAGATAAATAAGAGAAAATGAGATGGTTTGTGTATATCACAGGGAGAGAAACAGTAAGAATTATAATGAAAATAAACATAGGAGGAAAGAGATGGAAAGGACGACTAGAAAATAGGTGGCGGGATGCGATTGAGAATGATATGAGAATAATCTGTGTAAATATGATTATATCATATTTACATCAGTTTTATTTTCACATTTTAATTGTATTTAAAAAGTTATTTTATTTTATATTTATGCAATATGAAGATTACTGAAGCCGAAACTAATAATTACCTTAATTATACTTTTTGGTTCAATTAATAATTCTATACTTTCTTAATTTATTTAAATTTTAATATTATCATTTTGTGAAATTTGAACAGAGTAGTTTCGCCTATGAAGAAACTGGCAGTGAAACAACAATTGAACTTGATGATTCACCTATAAAATTATCTCCAAGTAAATTAGATGAAAAATACATTATATTTTTAAAATTTGTTTTTAGTATTAAGTTACTTACAACAATCTTTTTATTTCAGCAACCAAACGTGGTAGAACAATTCGCAGAAATATTTCATCACTAACACCCAGTAGTCTTGGTAAATTATAATATATATTATTACCTGAATCAAATTTGTATACTTTATATTAATACACTGCTTCCTTTATTGAAATTGGTATTTCAGTTTCTGGGGATGATGGCTCTAAAAACAACAATTATTGCAATAAAGCAATAGTAACAGCAACGAAACGAGGTCCAGGCCGTCCAAAGTATAAAACTCCTGTCCTAACCAATTCAGCTTTTAAGAACCCCCTCAAAAAGTCTTAATTTAAAATTTTATGAATAAAATGAGTATAGTTATTTCTGAATATTTTGTCATTGTTAATTTTATAATTTTGTAGTATGATTAAAATAAAAAAATATAAATACATTACTTTGTATTACTTTAGTTCTGATACTTTAATTTTGTTTTAATTAAAAACAAAAGCTGATATAATAATGAATACCAATAATTTTTGTATAACTAATAAACTTTAGACATTAATGACAGTAATTGATAGAAATCTATGAAGCTTTAATAAGTAGTGTAATTACTCATCATAATTATATAAAATAAGTAAATTTGTTTTAAAAAATTTTAGATGGATAACCTGTGTTTTATTTCTTAGTTTTTATATACAATTTGTATGTTGTTACTGGAAAAATCTGACTATTCAATATTTAATACATGAATGGTGGATGAAATGAGCTGGCCTAACTTAACTGCTTGGAAAATCAAAAAATAAATTCAATGTATATCTGTATACAACGATTAACCATTGTTAACCAAAAACAATTCTGATCAGAGCTCGGACAATAGTGTTGTCAACAATATATAAGTCATATTATGGTTAAATAATTGCATATGCTTTAAATATTTAATTTAATAACATTAGTTTATTGTACCTATTTTCACATTTTTTCTCAGGAGGAAAACTGGGATAATCAAAAAATGACCTTCCCTAAAGTACCAACCCAAGAAAATTCCCTGTCAGATTTTCTTTCAGAAAAAGTACTATCATTGTAAATCGGAGAAAAGTTGTTCACAGGAAAAATGAAGACTAATATTTTTTACTAATACAATTCATACATTTTCCTGTTTTGCTTCTGTTTTCTCCATTTATTATGAAAACTGGGAAAATCAAAAAATTACCTCTCTAAAGACCACCCAAGGAAAATTCCTTTTCAGAAAGGTGGTACACTTGATACTTCGGAGCAAGATTTCTAGTAGAATTTTTGTACCGAGTATAAAGAAAAAATAAAAAAAATATTTGTAGAATTAATAAATTTTTCGTATTGCTCAGACAGGGGCAGACTGGAAATACAAATCAGCCCTGGGGATCCAAAATGTCAATGTGAATATCTAGGCTAGTAAAGTAGTAATATGATACAAAACTTATTTTTAATTTTTTAGTTTTGTTTGATGTTTCTCCTCACTTTCTTTTTATTACTTATTTAGTTTCAATTATTTTTATAAAATAATAATTCAACGATCTCAAATTTTAACCACCCTGAGCAGGTACTTCAATATTTCTATGGCCCAGGGTATTTAGTGTTTTATTTAAAATAACACATGTTACCCAAACGGTAGAATAGTGTTCATAGCATTGATATAGCAATAAGGAAGTGTCTGTGTCTGTACGCAATATACAGCGTGTACAGCTGAATCTATTGCACACAGAGGTCAAAAAATTTACATACATTTACGTAAATGAGTTATCAAACAAATAGTTAAACACATTTTTGGCTGATTTCTGAAATGCAATGCTTTTAAAATTGAAAAGTGATGTCAAAAGAAAGTTTGGAAAAATAACTTTATGTTATTAATTGTAACGATGGAGTCACATAAGTCAAAACAACAGAACATTTTACAAACCTAACCTGGGTTTATATAGGTATAGGTCGATACCATTAATAAATAGTCACCTATATCATATTAATATTATTCATATTTATTTTATACGGGACAAACCCAGTACAAATGGTAACTAATATTATTCGAAATTAAAATGAACGAAATTTACAAAAATAATGGTTATCTATAGGCTATAATACCTACATATTAAACTGGCAATACAAAGTACTTAGAGGTGGCTGGAACCTGATTGAGCATGATTGGCGTTTTTCAGAACTTGATTGATCACGGTTGCAATTAAACAATAGAAACTCAAAAAACAACACGATTAAGCACGAAAATAGGTGTGACATTGCCACTTTATACCGTAGAATATTAATATTAAAAAATAAAATACATCTGAACGTAAATATTTATAAATAAAAATCTTTTACTGGTTTTTAATCACATATTAAGAAAGCGTTTGTTGGGTCAGTTAATTTAGTATATATTAAAATTCAAATTTATTCTCCTAAATACCGAATATATATTAAAAAAAATTAAATAAAAAAGGTTGCTGTACAATCATATTTTGTACATAGCCATTTCAACAATTAACCTTTTGTTCTCGACCCAATAAACCTGTACTTAAAAGCTCAAACATTTTCTAACTCTGCCTCTCTTGGGTAAAATAATTTGTACTTCATTATTTTCCATCAAAAAAATCGTAAAATTTGTAAAATACATACTATTTTTGAAGGACCAAGAGACAACAGAACAGACTGACTGTGACTAAGTCGGTAACAACTAACATGGCAGGGTATGTGAGGTTAAGCGATGTATCCCTTCAATCGGCTTAAAAATACAACGACTGTGAATATTTATTTATCAATTCAATTTTCACTCTATATATATTTCAGCCAACTTACAAGGGAAAGCTTGTTCTATATTTAATACAAATTAATTTTTTGTATCCGGTTTTTGAATTCCGAGATTGGGCCCATTGTCGGGTTAAACATAGAAGAAGAAGAAAAAGTGTAGTCATGTATTCGTGGTTATTAATAATTATATTATTTACTCCCTACCCCCTACCCATTGAAAATACCTGAGTACGTTACTAGTTCAGACTATTAATGTACAGAATTATATAAGAATCTGTAAATAAATATTATTTTGAGTTTAAAAAGAATAAAAAATAAAACGGTGTGTCGTACACATATTCATATACGGGAGCATAACACTGAGCTGCAAGCTGTAAAACGGACTCGGGGCATATTTATAATTATATTCTCTGTGTCCAAATGGACATCCATTCTAGGAAATTCCTTTTTAAAACCCCGGGTTTGATCCCGCGAGCCCTTAGTATTACAATACCTATTTATGACCATTCGACTAAAACTTTACAAGTATAGTAAATTAACAATATAGTTATTTGACATAAACATGTAATATCTGCATAATATCTGAATTTAAAAAAGCTATAGTTTCGAAACTTAATCAGTTCGCTCAATTCTGACTTTACCATCCTTCTTAAATCGGCAATACACATGTTTGAAAAAAAAAGAAAAAATTGAAAAATTAGATTTGTTCCACATCATTTTTTACTCGAACAATTTTCGTCAAAATGTAGTATCCAAATTCCTTTATAAAAACAAATACTATACTAAACTCAATTTTTTTTTTACTACAAAGTAAGATTTATTGAACTTTCTGTTAAATTTTCAAACATTTCTGTTAAGTCTAATAATTTTACCACAGAGTACCTACCGAATAAAAATTACGTACAAAACTCGCAAAATTTAAATGTCTATAAATATCCCATAAAAAGCTTAAATGTTTGAAAATTTTAACTCGTCTAGAAAAATCAAATATAAGTTTTCTGTTCAAATTTCAAGTTCAAGAATATTTTTAAATGAATTACAACGAATAACAAAATTGATAAAATAATAAAAGCATTAATTTCGTACGTTTATCGTTTTTCTTATGTTTTATTCTGGTTTTCCCCAGATATTATGAAAACCGCTTGAAAAATCAAAAAATGACCTCCCAAAAGTACCATTTGGACAACATTTACTTTCAGAAATGGTGCCACGCGTATATATCTGAGCAAGATTTATGGTCGAATTTTTGTATATAGGATAAAAAAAAAAAAATAAATAAACATCTTAATAAAGCCAATATATTCTTCGCTACACTCAGAATCTATAATTACGGAACATAAAATTATGTATCACCGAACCGCGCTCGGAGTCGTCTTTCGTCAAGCAATGGTTTATCGTTGCTTACAGATATATATATGAAATAACATTATGTATCCTATCTTCTCAACTTTTCAACTACAACAATGGCCGCTCCCAATCCTCAGTATCAGCTATTTTATTTTTTAAATATTATATCTAAGATCAAAGTTTGTTATTCTTATACTATTTATGTCATGTTTATAAACAAAGTTGGTTAAATTTTTTTTTCTGTAATGATTTTGTGATAAGGTATTATTTTAATTCTTTGAATTTAGTTAACTTAAAAAAAAAAAAGTGGATACCCGGTAAATAATCAGCAAAAAATGTCCTGGCGGACTGTGTTACTAGATAATTATGTCAAATATACGTAATTCGTTGAATACGAGTATATTATAACCTTGATAGAAGTCCAAGTAAAACGGATAAATACCAATTTGTTAATACACACCAACCTACATAAATTATTGCCTCGAGTTTAATATTTTTATTACTACAATTTATTATATTTAACATTACACGATGTCGGTACTAACGCAAAAAAACATAATATGCCTAGATGTTAATTTTAAAATTTTGTCCATGAGGCTATGCTGCACTTACAGTACAATAACGTATAATTATAATATTGTCCCGTGAATACGTTTTAATGAAGTAGGTGTAGAATTTTGCAATAATGCGTAGTATTCCTAATTTGTTATATTTACAAAATATTACATGAAGTGTAAAGGCAGACAAAGACAAAAAATCACCGCTTCCAATCCCTTTAACGCTAAACGATTTTTTTTAAGTAGACATTATGATATTCTTAACGTATACGAAGGTATACGGTTTCTGTATAATACAAAATATATACGAGTACCTATATAATAATTATACCTGTTATTAATGGCGTTTAAAAATAAAAAAATAACAATTTTTAATGAAATGTTGAAATATCAGTGGAACCTTGATAACTTGAACGTCGTGTATTAGTCGAATTTTCGTTTACTCGAAGGAACTTGGCCCTGCATTTCAATATAGTATTTGCTATAGATAAATTTTCTAAGTGATTCGAATTTTGCCAACTCAAATTTAAAAATCTAATCTTATATAGGCCGATATTAACGTTTATTTACTGTACTCGTATATTGAGATTCATTTATACTTAGATCGAAAGATAATCTATATCATATACTATCCTACTGATGATGAAATTCTCAATAATTTGATGTAAGTACAGCTTTACGGCTCAGTATAGCCAACA